CCACCGTTCTGGAACCTGCTCGAATGGGTAAGTTGATCTTTCCCAATGGGTACTCTGGATTGGCATTGAAGCCGAATAGTAGATAAGGAGTCGGAGTCAGGTCTGACTCGTTGAATCCGAGTTTGATGAAGGTTTTGTAATACATAACCTCCGAAGTACTGCCCTGGTCAATAAGAACGCGTTCGACGGTGAAGCGGTTTACGCGTAGCTCAACAACCAATGGATCGATGTGAGGAGTGTTAAGCCGATCAAATTAGAGTCGTCAAAGGTGATACTTGGCGTTTCTCGGAGCTGCTTTGCGGGCCTGAGTTACTGTTGGGGGCCTGGATGTGATTGGATCGCATGCACGGCCGGGGCTGATGGCAGGCTGTATATCATGTGGACGGTGTCAAGCGAAAATGCATCCTTCGGAAGGGCAGATGTTTTGATCGCACTCCTCCGGACGCATTGTTGGAGACGTTCGTCCTTTGCCAACTCCTCAAGATGATCTGTTGAGGCATAGCGGCCGTCTTGGCGTTTCTAGGGGGCCGCTTTGCTGGCCTGAGTTGCTGTTGGGGGCCTGGATGTGATTGGATCGCATGCACGGTCGGGGCTGCTGGCAGGCTGTATATCATGTGGACGGTGTCAAGCGAAAATGCATCCTTCGGAAGGGCAGATGTTTTGATCGCACTCCTCCGGACGCATTGTTGGAGACGTTCGTCCTTTGCCAACTCCTCAAGATGATCTGTTGAGGCATAGCGGCCGTTAGTTTCGCGCTGTCGGGCTCGAGATTGTCGATCATCTGCCCTCGGGGGTCGCTCAGAAACCTGGCGCACTGGTTGTTTTGATTTTGCTATTTCCGAGGCCAGATCACGACAAAGGCGTTCGTTCTCAGCGATGATGTTGTCCAACCTCTGTTTGGTTTGCCTAGCTTGTGCCATGGTCGCTTGTATTGTCTTTTGCATTGGATTTGAAGATGAGCAGAGGTCCAAGGCAAGTCTTGCTGCGATGGTTTTTGGTCCAAGCGAGTTGGCTGGAGTGAGGTCATCTCTCTGTGTGGTCTCGTCAGTGGCTATCGGAGGATCTTCAGTCACCCCTGCCATAGATGTATTTGAGTATTCCCACAGACGGCGCCAATTGTGGAAAAGTGATTTGGAAATACTCTTCAGATCCTGGGAGACGCTAGTGATCCTCAGCTAGTCACCTAAAAAGATACAAACACTCCGGTTGGGGGTGCCAAAATTAGCACTCCGACAGACAAGTCAGTTCAGACACTCAGGATAGCTTGTTTACTAAGTTAAGAAAAAAATGATTGTTACATACCTTTCCAAATCTGTGGTTCTTGTATTTATACTTGCTTTTTGGGCCTCGGGGCCTGAGCCTACTTTTATCCCATTCCCCTTTTATTTGTTCGGAACTACTGATCTTTGGCTATTCGGCCTTCCTAACGTATTCGGCATCCTAGTCACGTAGTATGGAGCCGAATAATATCTGATTTCTGGGGTACGCACCTCACGATGTTGCTTAAACTTTTGAAGGAAGGAATTTCCCAAAAAAAAAAAAAAAAATCTCCGATGTGACGCATTTTTCTTTTTCTTTTTTTTTTTAAATGCCACATTAATATAGATTTATGTCGAAATTATATCTATATATTCACTAATTATTTTTAAAACATAATATTTACAAGACTTCTATTTACCCTGAGCTATCAATAAACAAAACTTAATAGAATTATATGAACTAAAAATCAACGAAGTCTGAGCCTGTTGCATACTCTGTTAGCATCCCAACAGCAAAACCAAACATTGCCCATCTGCTCAAAAAATAAATGAATAAATAAAAATACAGAAAGATGAAAAATCCCAGGTTAAGAAATTGACTTGCCTCTCAGAATATTGAATTGATTTGTGTATGGAAGAAAAATTTATATTTATAAACAATTTGAGCGACTAATCTATACTCCAAATTAGATGAGTTTGTTCAAACCAATGTAGGACAAGAAAATCAGCAATAAAACTTCAATAGTTGTCAAATTATAGAAACGCCATACATGCTCTGTGTATAGCCATCCACAAGTAGCATTGGAATTCAAGAGTGATGGATTGTAATCAGTGTATACCCATACCGAAAAAACCTAATAAAGAGGATTGAAAATAGATAATCCTCTTTAGTCCAAGATGTAAAAGAACCAACCTGGAGGGGGATACAAAAAAGCTACCCTCGCAGGTGATTTGATGAAACAAAGAAAACAAAAACAAAAAAAATAAAATAAAATTGATGTCTAGTGTGAAAACACCTGGCTTTCGAGAAATACCACTGAAGTTTGTTTTTTTTATTTTCTGAAACACAAAAACAAACCCAAAAACTAGAATACTTTGACAAACAGATGATTTGCAGAAATGGATACAGAGAAGCGGGGATGATACAGAAGGGGGGGAGAAAAGAAGTAGAAAACTTAATCAGAAAGCAAATTGTTTTACAAAAACACTTTCACTGATTTGGTTTACTATGAATTGTATAGTGTTTTTCCTCACAACCTCTTTCTCCAACCTCACGAAATCAGAAAAAGCCCTAAATACCTGTAATCAGAAAAAGCCCTAACTTAATCAGAGCTTTGATTACGAAATCGACAGAAAATGGAAAACAAAAACATTTCAAAACACTCAGAACTCGTGAGCCACGGGGATGGAGAGGGAGAGAGATACAAACAGACAGACACAGATCGATAGAGAGGAAGAGAGAAATACCTGTAATCAGTGGTGGGCCGGACTGCAATGTTCGCGGTCGCGAGCACCGGTGATGAACGACGGTGGCCAGCGGCGCAGAGCTTTGGTATCGACTGCTCTGTGGTGTGTGTCAAACAGAAGAGAAATAATCCTTTGTTAAATGTAGGCGCCAATATTAATGAGTTTCCCTCTAAAAAAACATTTGGAAACTTCAGCGACTAAATATTTGTTTTGGTCGCCAAAAAGCATAAAAATTTCTCCCATTTTTTTGACGACAAAAAGTTTTGTCGCGAAATGTTATCATACGGCGACGAAATTGAACTTTGGTAGCGTAAAGTGGTTGAAAACAGCGACTAAAAACAAATTAGTCGCCAATAACACTATATGGCGACTAAAAACTTTGGTAGCTAAAAATACGAAATGAATGCCGACTAAAAATGGAATTTTGGTCGCCGAACACCCTGTTTTTGGCGACTAAAATTGGTTTGGTCGCCAATTTTAGTCGCCAAATGTACAGTTTGTTGAAGTGATTGTTTCATCCAAAAGAAGGGCAACAATATAGGTGGTTAGATAAATTTAGTTTGATTTTGAGGTAAATTAAGAATCAAATTAGTTGTTATTATTCTCTAAATTTATGGATTGAACCGAATCATGAAACTTTAAAAACGAATCAAAATTGAAACCACCAAAAACTATTCAGTTTTTGTTAAGTTTCAAGACTCTAAGCCTTCGTTTGGCATCGACTTTTTTAGTTGACTTTTTTGTGTTGGAATTTTTTTTGTTTGGCTTTTTTAACCTCATTTGGTTTGACTTTTTTGATTTTTTTGACTTTTGTGAGAGAAAAAATGTAATGATTATGATTTGAATGTGACATTTTATCTTATTAACTTATATAGTAAATTTTGTCTTTTTATGCTTTTTTAACTAAAAATCTTTAGCCAAACGACCCCTAAATTAAGAACTTCATCACTATATTTAGAATAAGTAATTTAATAAATATTAATTCCTATGCAAGCATTCCAAACATTTCATAAACATACTCAAATTTTTCGAATACTCTCCAAATTATTTTTTATAAAATGTGTGAAGATAAAAAAAATAAATTATTCATATTACATATTAATTTCTATGAAACTAAATTTTTTAATAATGTTATTTTTTTAGACAAAACTTTTGATCTCAAAAGGTTAGTAATTAAGCACTAAATGCCTAATTTTGTCGCTAAAAATAAAATAATAACACTTTTAGGAACAAAAATATTTTATCTCTAAAAAGTTATTTTATCCTTAAATTTTTATGTCTAAAACTTTAATTTCTTGTAGTGATAAAACACTAAAATAAAAAATAATTTTAAAAAAGTTGAGTGGATGGGTGTGAAACGCATTAGAGGAAGCTAATATTGACTTGAATTTCACATCAAGAGGCAGAATCACATGAATTGTATTAGAGTTTGTTACATTTTCATGGATGAACTCTTATGCCGCACTTGGTTGAGGGATTTGATAAGGGATTTAAAAAGAAAAAGGAAAAATATATATAAAATGTAGGTATATTTTATTCACGTTTTATTTCTTTATTTTTTCTTTTCAAATTCTCCAACCAAGCATAACGTTAACAGTTTAGTTTGGAATAGTTTTTTGAAAATTGGATTTTTTAATTGTTATCTTTTTAGTCCTTTTTTTTTTAAATATTAAATATTTTTTGTTTTTAGATGCATATAACCTAAATACACAAAAGAATATTTTCATATTCTTTTGTATTTATCTAGTTTTTTTTTCAAATATTTTTTTAGAAATATTATACTTTTTAGGTGTATCTAGGTTAGGTGCATTTAAAAAAATAAAAGTAAATTACACATACGCTTTCTGAGATTTGCTTAAAGTACGAATTGTTCCCTGTGATTTAGAAAATTACAAATACCTCTCTGTCATAATTTTTTATTTAACAGAATTAATTAAAAAAGAGAAATTTCTAACTGTTCACTTATACAATAATAAAATTATCTCTCATTCTAAATAAACCATATAATATATAATAGAAAATGATGCGTGCTTATTCAAACTAAAATTTCATTCCTCAGCTAGTCACTAATACTTTGATGGAGATATAAGTGAGAAAGATCAAAGATTGTAACATTTTCCTTTGGATTGTTATACAAAAGTCATTTAAAATATCTCCCCAGATTGACCAGCCAAGGTCTGGCCAGGAAAAACGTACTATATATAGCGCAAATAACATTCGATATTAAGTCACAAATACACCGAATACTAAATTGTGCTGTGTTGCATGTTTATCATGGGTTCATCATCCATGAGAATTGCAGCAATTGTTTTTTACCTTTGCTTTCTCACCGTTGCAACATTTCATAATTGCTTTTGCAATGGAAACTCCAACATTGTTTGCTCCAAAACTGAAAAGCAAGCCCTTCTAAAATTCAAGCAAGATCTTAAAGATCCTTCGAACCGGTTGTCCTCTTGGGCTGGTGACAACTGTTGTCAATGGTCCGGAGTTGTCTGCGACAACTTCACTGGCCATGTCCATGAGATCCACCTTCCTTTTAATTATAGTGATGTTGATTGTCATTATAATGGAAATATATCTGAATATGAGGCTTGCTGGAGTTCCCACCACTAAGGAGGTAAAATAAATCCTTCTTTGCTCGATTTGAAGCACCTCCGTTATCTGGACTTGAGCTGGAATCATTTTGGAGGGATTCGCATTCCTAGTTTCATTGGCTCTATTGGAAGTTTGAGGTACCTCAACCTGTCTTATGCTGGATTCAAAGGAGCCATTCCTCATCAACTAGGAAATCTCACCATGATGCGTTATCTGGACTTGAGCGGGAATTATTTTGGAGGGATTCACATTCCTAGCTTCATTGGCTCTATTGGAAGTTTGAGGTATCTCGACCTGTCACACGCCAAATTCAGCGGAGCCATTCCTCATCAACTAGGAAATCTCACCATGATACGTTATCTGGACTTGAGCTTCAATTATCTTTATCTTCAAGGTACTTTTTCTGGAACTGTACAACAGTTACGTGGTGATAATTTACACTGGGTTTCAGGTCTTCTTTCATTACAACACCTTGATATGTCAGGGGTAAACCTTAGCAAAGCAGTGGATTGGACAGAGGTGATAAGCACGCTTCCTTCTTTGGTAGAATTGCACTTAGCTGAATGTGATCTCAAATATTCTTCTCCTTCAACTACCATTAACTTTACATCTCTACATATCCTCGTCCTTTCTTATAACAATTTTGCATCGTCTATACCTAAGTGGATTTTTAGTTTGAATCATCTAGTTTCCCTAGATATCTGTAATTGTAACTTTGATGGCCCAATTCCCAATGGTATTCAAAACATGACTTCTCTCAAAATGTTTTATGACATATCAGTTTATGTAACTTTTATGGCCCAATTCCCAGTGGTATTCAAAACATGACCTCTCTCAAAGAGTTTTATGCTTTTGGAAACAATCTGAATTCATCATTGCCCAAGGAGTTGTTTATCCTCAGAGACCTCGTTTCTCTAGACTTAGGCTTCAATATGTTTCAGGGACCAATTCCAATTGGCCTTCTAAACATGACTAGTCTTAGGGATCTAGATTTGGAACTTAATCTTTTCACTACGTTGCCGAATGGGTTGTTGTCTAGTCTTAGCCGTCTCGAGTCGATCATTCTCAGTGGCAATCTCTTGCAAGGTGTAATCTCAGGAGCCATAGGAAACTTGACTTCCCTCTTTAGCCTTGACATGTCACACAATCAACTTGAAGGGAAAATAGCAACATCATTGGGAAAACTATGCAAGTTGAAGAGAATTGATTTATCATATAACAAATTTGGTGGAGAGGCAGCTGAAGTTTTCAAAAATTTCTCCCAATGCATGTTAGATGGATTGGAATCAATGTCATTAGGGAACAATTATCTTGGTGGTCAATTTCCAAATGAGCTTTACCAATTCAAAAATCTAACTTACCTTTCTCTTCAAAATAACTCCATTATTGGTCCCATTCCGAAGTCGATCAATAGATTATCATCCTTGAGAAGTTTACGTCTTTCCTATAATCATTTGACTGGAGTTCTTCCTGAAAGTCTTGGGCAACTTGCAAAATTAGAAACTTTAGATCTTTCATATAATCATTTGAATGGAATTCCTAAAAGTCTTGGGCAACTTGTGATGTTAAACTACTTAGATGTATCTCATAATTTGATGAAGGGTGTTGTCTATGAGATTCACTTTGCCAATCTCACAAGATTATGGTACTTAGATGGAAGTAAGAACAATTTAACTTTGAAAGTGCGTGATGGTTGGATCCCCACTTTTCAAGTTGGATATTTGATGTTGGCCTCTTGGCAATTAGGGCCATCATTTCCAGATTGGCTTCAATACCAAGAACAATTAATAACATTGGACATAGCCAACACAGGAATTTCTGATTCCATTCCGCAATGGTTTTGGCCCAAAATTTCCAACCTTTGGCAATTAAATCTCTCTCGTAACCAAATTCGTGGAGAGATTCCAAGAGAATTTGAGGTTCTCAATAGTGCTTCTACGATTGACTTGAGTTTCAATAACTTCAAGGGTATGTTACCATTCATCTCCTCTACTGTGGAAAGGCTAGATCTTTCAAATAATTCTTTTTTAGGATCTGTTTACCATGCCTTATGTAGTAGGATGAGGAAACAAAATTTGCTGATTGTTCTTAATCTAGCAAACAATTATTTGTCTGGAAGAATTCCTAATTGTTGGCAGCATTGGCAATATTTGGAAGTCTTACAATTAGAAAATAACCAATTGATGGGTACCATTCCACTGTCTATTGGACATTTAGCTTCCCTCAAATCATTGCACTTGCGACATAACAACCTCTCAGGAAAACTACCGCACTCTCTACAACATTGTATAAACTTGGTGCTCATTGATCTTGGTGGAAATGAATTTATTGGAAGCATACCTACTTGGATGGGGAATTCATTTTCAAAATTGGTAGTTCTTAACCTTCGTTCAAATAAGTTTCAAGGCGGCATTCCATATGAACTATGTCGTCTAAGTTCTCTTCAAATCTTGGACCTTGCACATAATAATCTCTCAACAGTTGTGCCAAAATGTTTCAACAATTTCACAGCCATGGTTGAAAAACAAAATTCAAGTAATCTCTTTTCTTATTTTGCAATGAGTCCTACATCAGGAGCTCAAGAAAATGCATTTCTTGTGACCAAAGGAAGAGAGGTTGAATATAGCACCATCCTTAAATTTGTTACAAGCATGGATCTTTCAGAAAATAATTTGTCAGGAGAGATCCCAAAGGAACTAACTAGACTAGTTGGATTGCATTCATTGAATCTGTCTGGAAATCATTTTACCGGAGAGATCCCAAAGAATATTGGTGACATGGAACAACTTGAATCCCTAGATTTCTCTCTAAACCAGCTTTGTGGTGAAATTCCTTTAAGCATGTCAAGTTTGACATTCTTGAGTCACTTGAATTTGTCTTATAATAATTTGATAGGACAAATTCCATTAAGTACTCAACTTCAAAGCTTAGAGAATTCCAGCTTTGTCGGCAACAAACTTTGTGGATCTCCACTCCCAAACTGTGACACAAACAAGGCAATACCTAAAGTTGGACATGGAGGCAATGAAGGAGAGGGATTTCCAGAAGTGTGGTTCTATGCTATATCGGCACTTGGATTTGTTGTTGGTTTTTGGGTTGTGGTGGGTCCTTTACTATTCAAGATGTGCTGGAGAATTGCTTATTTTCGATTTCTTGATGATATATGGTACAACTTCTGTAATTTTATTTTAAAATGTCACTATATTTGTAATTGAAGGAATTGCTCATTTATTCCCTCAAATAATTATGTCTAATAATTGATGTACTTTGCTGTTTCATTTTGAGAAGGTTAGCATTGTTTAGGGCGCTAAGATATAGTGTGAAAAGAAAATGAATGATGAAACCATCGCCATTTGATGTAAAAGTGTTAGAGGAATTTAAGCTTCTTGTCAAGCTCAAAATGTGATGAATGTTTTCTGAGATGGTTTTTTTTTTTTTTTCCTTTTTTTAAAATCAACAAAGAAAGGAATTTCATTGATGAAATCAAGCAAACAAATATATGATATTATATAAATAAATAAATAAAGGCAAGAGCAAAGAGAGTATTTAATTTAGTTCACTGGAGTGATTTGGATGAGAATAAAATGACTGTTTCTTGATCTCTCAATGGAATGATCTTGCTCCTCATTGATGAATATTAAAATGGAATTACCATTTCATTCAAAAAAAAAAAAAAAAAAAAAAATCAAACACTCCATAAGGTTTCTTTCTTAGGAAATTCTATAGTTTTGGGTGTGTACCACTGCCGTTAGGCCTCTCCAACGATGCACTAAATCGATCACCAAATTTAAATTTGTTGAAAAAGTTTCTTTTTTTGTACTCCAATGGTTTCATCACCAAACTGGAATGTTTTTGCACCTTTCAGCAATTTACTGTGTATAGCCGTTGAGTGTTGACCCACCAGACGACCGGCTAGATGTCCCCCCAGATGACCATCTCAAGGCAAAATTTGTAAAAAATTTACATTGACCAGTAGACCCTCGGATGACCACCTTTGCATCTTTTTTTTTTGACCTGCCTTCTTTGTTGGTTCAAAAAAATCATGATTTGGGGCAACCTCCAATGAGGCACTTTGATTTAAAGAGGACTTTCACAAACAATAGAAATTAGATTCTCCAATGCAGAAAAGCAATTTGATCAATGCGTATATGCAAATCAGATATTCTACTCAGCAAATCCAAAAGAAAGCCTTGTATGATCAATTTGTTATAGTCCATACTTATATATATAACTATATTCAAACACACACACACACCCACATATATATGATCAATCATATAAATTTTGAAAGATATATTACATATAGACTCTGTAACATTTTTGGTTGAATAAGACTGAATATACAAAAAAGAAAGCAGAGCAGAGCATACCATCGCTACGATTGTTGGTGCAGGCAAGCTTGAAAGTGATATAGCCAGCATCACAAAGTCTCCTTTCATACATGTCAACAAGTTCTTTATTTCTAACCCAAAACTCTTGCCACAAACACAAGCACAATTTTGCATTTAAGTATCTAAATAGATCAAAATCATTCATAAATAGAGAAGAAAAAAAAAAAGGGAAAAATAATGGCAGAACCTGAAGAAAAAAAAAAGGGGAAATCATACAAGCAGTGCACTTGTTAAGTTGGATTACAGTTGCCGCTTGATCAGCCAGACGTCCGGTCGGTCGTCTCCCGGTCGACCTGTGTTTTGATGACAGTTATAAATTCGCCGTTGGAGTGGTTAATATCAGATAGAGGAATTCATATTTTTTTTTTACTCAGATTTGATGAAATATTTGGAGAACCATTGGAGATACCCTTATCTCTTACAGGTGCATTACCCTTTTTTTAAATATATATATATATATATATATTTAAAGTACTTTTTACATATTTTTTTTATTTTAATAAAAAGAGCCTAAGGTTGGTCTCTTCTAACAAAATAAACCTTGAGTTTTAAACTTGATCAATTTAAACCTTAATCTTTTTATTTATTTTCAATCTACATCTTTGACATATTTTCATTAAGTAAAACTGATGAAAAAATAGTATTTAGTCATTAAACTCAATGTATGTTTATATATCATGTTTAAAATACGCTTTTTCATCGAGTTTAATAATTAAAATATCATTTTTTTTTGTAAGTATTACTTAAAAAAAATAGATAGATGATTTAGATTAACAACAATATCAAAATATTAGGGTTCAAATTGATAAAATTACAAATTCAGGATTTATTTTGCTACAAAGATCAAACCCTAGGTTTTTTTTGTG